GGAAGGCACTCAAAATCCACAGCAGCACCAACAATGGTCTTGAGCACACCAACGACCATGAAGATGGCTCAAGACTGGGCAACATTTCATTCTGTTTTTACCTGGGATCACCAAGAGCTGGAGCCGACTCAAGGGCAGCTAACAACAAGGCAGTTACCCGCACTCAGGAGTCATCCTCCTCGAATTCCTCCCACATTAACCGGGAACTGACGGTCTTACTTTTTCTTCATATTTTCATTAGTCCTGCCACCTCTTTATCCAGATCTTTACCCTCCATATCTGAATAGCTGCTGTAGCCACTTAAGTTGATCTCCTAGTCGCCACCCTGCAGCGACCTATCCTGAGCGAAGTCTCCGGGCGCCCCTGAGTGCTGCTTGAAGTGGTTTATTGTAGTGTTACTTAAAATATGCAGAAACATAAAACTCGACATCGACTCCTTGTCTTCTCATTCTAAAACCAAAGCAAATTTACAAACAAAATCACAAAACAAATGAGATTCAAATGAACATTTAGCTCCGGATGCTGTTTTGTTGATTACATTGCCACTTACACTATAGTCCCCGTACCAATGGTTTTCTGGAATTCCACATGCCTGTACTATTCTAAAAAACCACAGTGGTTAGGACCTGGGCTGCTAACTAAAAGGTCGGCAGTTCAGATCTACCAAGCTGCTCCTCAGAAACCTTATGGGGCAGTTCTACTCTGTCCTGTAGGGTCTCTGTGAGTTGGAATCGACTCGACGGCAATGGGTTTGGTGTTTTGGTTTGATACTATTATGTACACGAATGGCCAGTTTTCCCACCATTTTCTGCTATTGGAACTTTCATGAAATCTTGGTTTAATACAGCTAGCTATGAGGAAATTGTTTTCCATTCTGACGTGGATGCATCTTCTAAGTATTAATTCCTCTTCTGTTCTGTTTTCCTCAGCTTATGAAAACTAAATACTTGGCTCCATAAATACAGATGCATATATAAGCAATAAAACTATAAAATTATATGGGAATACACAGGTATAAATTGTTATCTAGTTAAGTCTGAACTTTCTTAGATTAAAATTTTAAAGATTATCCTAGCTGAAAGGTGAAAGATTTTAAATGCTTGTAGAGATCTCATGGACTCTGAAAGAATATTTCTGCAGACCCGTCTACCCGCAGTTTACGCTGCTCTAATCCATTCTCCACCTTAGACCCCTAGCCTAGGATCCTAAGAGTGACCTCTGAGTACTCGCTACACTTTACTATTACCTCCTGTCTTAGTTACCTAGTGCTGCTATGACAGAAATACCACAAGTGAATGGCTTTAACAAAGAGAACTTTACTCTCTCACATTCTAGAAGGCTAGAAGTCCGAATTCAGGGTGCCAGCTCCAGGGGAAGGCTTTCTCTCTCTGTCGGCTCTGGAGGAAGGTCCTTGTCATAAGTCTTCCCCTGGTCTAGGAGCTTCTCAGTGTGGGGACCCAGGTTCCAGAGGATGTGTGCTGCTCCTGGTGCTTCTTTCTTGGTGGTATGAGGTCCCCCGTCTCTCTGCTTGATTCTCTCTTTTATATCTCAAAAGAGATTGACTCAAGATAGAGCCTAATCCTGCCTCATTAACATCATAGAGGTTAGGATTTACAACATACAGAAAAATCACATCAGATCACAAAATGGTGGACAACCACACAATACTGGGAATCATGGCCTAGTCAAGTTGACACATATTTTTGGGGGACACAATTCAGTCCATTCCACTCCCAACACTCTTCAACACCAGTCTTCAGCTCTAGCTAACTAGTGACCACCAGACTCAACACACATGCTCACCTCTTTGCCTTGGCTGATACCTTTCCCCATCTGAAATCCATACTCTTTTGGAACCCTGTTGGCACAATGGTTAAGAGCTCAGCTGCTAACCAAAAAGCCAGGAGTTCGAATCCAGCAGCCACTCCTTGGAAACCCTATGGGGCAGTTCTACTCTGTCCTATAAGGTTGCTATGAGATGAAATTGACTTGTGGCAACAGGTTTTTGGTTTTTTTTTTTATTATCTAAACCTTCCATTTTGATTGGAGTTCCTGGGTGGTACAAGTGGTTAACAAGCTTGGCTGCTAACGGAAATGTTGGCCGTTCAAGTCCACCCAGAAGTGCCTCAGAAGAAAGGCCTGGCCATCTGATTCTGAAGAATTAGCCATTGAAAACTCTACGGAGCAGAGTTTCACTCTGACACACATGGGGTCGCTATGAGTCAGTTTTGTTTTGTTTTTCCTTCCATTTGGTTAAGTCCTTCCTCCTCCTGGGATTGTCCCAGCCAACAGAGATCTCTCCCTATCAAAGCATGTCAGTACACCCCATTCAGCATTAGCCACCCATTCCACATCGTTTTTCCGATTATTCTCCCACTGCTCGGCAAACGTGTTGAGTGTATGGCAGATCACAACCTTGTGCTAGGCCCCTGAATCAAGGGTTCTGTTTTCTGCTTCCCCTGACACGCGATGTGCATTTAACATACGTTTATTGCAGTGGTTTGGACAACATTGTACTCCACATGTGACGTATGCTGGCAGATTTCAAACCACTGGAATCAAGAATAGTACAATCTCAGGACTTGCTTGAAGTAACAGAATGTTATTGTTGGGTGGCGTTAGTTTTTTTTTTTTTAAATCAATCTTTAAAAAGCAGCTGTCAGTCTTTTTAACAAATGGTGCTGGCAAAACTGGATATCCATTTGCAAAAAAATGAAACAGGACCCATACCTCACACCGTATACAAAAA